AATCCTTTGCAGCCAAGTGGTAACTATATGTACCACCCGCTTCAAGAATCAGTAAATCCTCATTTCGTATTCATACGTTTCTTCCGGCAAACAGTAAAAAAGTTTTCATTGCAATGGTAAATTGTGGTGTTTTCTTTGCGGTTCGGACTGGATTCTGCATGCGCGATCCGCCACTGCACACAGTTTTTCCAATCGGGGCTGTAAGAACGCCAACACGTGACGCGTTTATTGCCGTCATGATGGGAGTCCCCCTCCCCCGTCAGGGCTACTTGTATTGGGGGGGGGGGCAGAGACCCCTCATCTCACTCCCAGAATATGAGCATCAGGCAGTCATCTGCGGCCATGCAAATATTTGAGGAGCGGCGTAATGAGACTTGATACGTCGATGGGTTTCTGTTCCATTGGCGTCCACAGGAAACATTTCATTCGGCGTCGCGTTACAAGCGCAAAGCAAACGACGCCGGATGCATTACGTCCACACTTGAAGGACTCGCCGTGCTGTGTTCGAAGGCGGACGAGTCGCGCGGTTCTCATTACAGCGGCCGTTGGTTCGAATCCCGCTCGAGATAAGACTCGTCTGTGCCCCTTGGAGTTCTGCCAAACGTCTCGTGCCTTCGTTAAACGCTGGTTCAGGATTGGGACAGGTCACACGGCTTAATCCGCAAAACCTGAGGAATAACAAATGAACGCAGTAGACACAGAGCAGTCACTAAAGGACAATGCTTACCATTGGGTGAGATGGTAATGTTGACGAACAGACCAACACCACTTCCGTCCCAGGTTCAGGTGAGCGGCTTGTCTTCGGTTTCCAAGGCGTGGGTTAAGGCTCGGCAGTTTTGGGCGTTGTCATACGAGATTCTTTTGTTCATGGCCATTTCCTCTTCAGGCTTTTCGTTCTCTTGAGCCGTCCTGTCGTAGGGTTTTTTTAGTGTTCTGTCTGACGACAGGTCCATATGAACAGGATTCTTCCATCCTTTTCTCGGACTGGGATCTGTTCATATACGTTCTTGGCAGATGATCCATAAGTGGTTTGCCATTGCCTTCTTCTGTGTGTGAATGGAGTAATTGTTGGGATGCCACGGAGGAAAACTCCGTGTTGCCTAGACCACGGCCTTGCCCAACACAAGTTACTAGCAGGCCTAAATTAACGCGTATGAAGACGGCTGGAGGTTTTTTCTCCTTTCTTCAGGAACACCGCATTCTTGAAGTGTATTGCGTAACATGTCTCATTGGCACTGATGTTAATTTATTATACAGGGTGTTCAAAATGATACGCCACAAAAGACAGAGAAATTTCGGGACAACAGCGTGAGCAAAAGACTTCTGGCAGAAAGTTGGGATAAAATCTGAAGTGCAAAATGTTATGCTTCACAGAGAGGCGATTTACAAGAAATGCTCATTTGTCCTCCATGAGCGTTCGATCGCCCCAGGTGTAGCTCGAATCTCTTTTCCGGCTTGTCACATGCGTCGCCGAAGTTGCTGTCCGGTGTCGTGTTGACTGCGCCCTTCAGATGGCATCACAGGCGATCTTGAGGGACCACAAGCCGCAGCGCGAGTCCAAAAATTGTTTTATGTCGCGGGTGAAATAGAGTTAGAGCTTCGTTACACCCGGACTAAGCAATTCGTCGCGTTGTTACGGTCTTCAGTTGTCACTTCGCCGCGGTCCCAAGTAGTGAATGTGTAGTCATGCAGACTTAAAATATTTGTTTAATAAAGAATACAAATCGTGTGTATAGCCCTCACTCTAGGCTGTACACCCGCGTTCACACAAAACTCAACACGCATGAGCAATGTCTACTCTCTTAAAGGCAACTTCCAATACTCAGACTAAGAAAGAAAATCACGACTTGCCCACGCGGCCTTCCGTCAAAAGAATAACAAACACTTCGAAAGAAATTGACAATTGGTATTTGAGAAACTCCTTCATCTTTTAAGTCATAAATCGCAAACTAAGTACAGAAATATAAGTGGAATGCGCGCACGGACATCAAAAAGTACGGTTTGCCTGGTTACAAGGGCACTTAGTGCATTAGACGTAGTGTTACAAGCCTGTGAAAGGTTTTGAGTTGCTTCAACCATTCGATGGTGCGAGGGTTGGACTGGACGGGGAAAACCCTGAATCAGGATTTCCCACCCTAAAAATACCCTCTTCAGAAATTACTAATCCGTTAAGGTAGGCCTATATGTACGTGAATTCCTAACTTGTTTACAAATATTTTAAATACGTACATCCTTACGTATAAAAAATCTCGTAATACGTGTAACTTCCAGTTAAATTTTAGTTTGTTTAAAATTAGACTGTGGGTAAATATATAAAATCATGCATACAAACAGAACTGTTTACTCTTTGGAAAGACACTTAGTGCCAAAGGCGTTTCGACCTCAACAAATCATCATCAGTGGCAAACAAATTAATTCATGCGATTCATAAGACGATGGTTTCTTATAAAACCACACTGGACGTTACTCGTACAAGAATTGTATGATTTAATATGAATTAATTCGTTTGCCACTGATGATGACATCTTGAGGTCGAAACGCGAGTAAGTCCTCACGCGGTCTTCGCCCCATCACAACCTCGACAGGCCACTTCAATTTCATAGTAGCGGTTACTCTGAAAATAAGTAGCCTGCTGAGACTCGCTCAGTCACTATCAGCTTATCATAAAGAACTCCTACGTAGTTAGTTGCCGTGACAACCATCGCTAACCCCAGATCGCTGTCTCCTGGCTGCCAGACGTTTCAGAGATGCTTACTGCCTCCATCATCAGGGCGATGATTCATCGTAGTAAGGACCTCTGAAACGTCGGTAAAGTCCTACCACGACGCAACAACCCAGAAGACAGCCGTTTGGACTCACCACCGTGAAAACCTTAAATCCTACTCAAATTCGACATTGCAATTGACATTATGGATGCGCCGACGAGGAGGTGTGTTAGAAATCGAGCCCCTTTTGAAGTGAATTAGGAGAGTTCAGGAGGTTTCGTGCCCCGGACGGAGTGTACGGCACAGATCGGAAATAACTCAGTAGATTCCGACGACATTTTCGCGGACGAACCCTTTTTCGGCGCACCAGAGCGCGTCGCTTGTAGCAACAACACGTTCCTTGTTGAATGCTGTGTGTGTCCACACAGAGCCTCATTGCCAGGACGTTTTGCAATACATTCCTCCCCGCGTCCCTCGCCGATGCTTTTCCGAGCGATTACCCCAAATAATTGCTGTTCATTGTACCTCGGATCTCGGAGGGAGTACTGGTGTGCCTCCCTCTGACAATGGCGCGGCCCAACGCAGCTGTCTGCACAGAGGATGTTATACTGTAGCTCTCTTTCACGACCCCCTCCCACCCCCACAGTTGGGTCCCATTGTACGACCCCACACTGAATCACTGGACCGCTTTGGGACCGCGATTTCTCAACGAGGGGATTCTGTTGGTGAACCCAGAAATTCCAGTCCCAAAGGAAGACACTCCACAAAAACTCTGCCCTCCACCCTCGTCCCTCGTCCCTTATATGTGATTTACCGGTGACTCATATCATATTAACGTCTCGTTTCGAAACCATTATTAAGATTCACTCCCCCTTCTTCTTCTTCTTCTTCTTCTGAAGTAAGTACACCTTGACTCGAGTCCACAAAAAAAAAAGGAACACTGCTGTTTCGTCTCGTGCACCTGATCTGGGTAATGAGCTCTGTTTGCTAGTGGAACGCGGCTCAGAGTCGAGCGTGTTTTGTCAGTGTTTGCGCTGAACACGGCCGATTCTTTCATTCATTTGTTTGTCTTCACATAATGGCGCCCTCCAAACCCGAGGTAAGTCACGGAAGAGAGGTTATGTGATGAACTTTGCACATCTAAGCGTTGCTGTAGAGAGGCGAATATTACGGTAATTTATTTTAATCGTAGGGAAGTTTTATCGGGGCGGCTGAGCATGTAGCACGCATAGGTAAGTGATACAAACGACTTTACTAAACCCTGGCGGTACGAGACCACTATGGAGACTTAAACGCAAATGAGACGATGATGATATTAAAATGAATCTTAGAAGAAACAGGGAGTGAGGTTGCGGATTGCGTCAATGTGCCTTTCGACTCTTGCCGACAGCTACGAAAGGCGCCGAGCAGTGCGTTGATCAGCTGAGCGACTGTCAGTTTTGCAAGAAGAACTCTGCTCCATAGAGTTGGTTGTACAACTGTGATATTGTAACGACAGATTTGTGGGGATTCTACTGACACGTGGTTCGTGGTGGGGCTGAGCCCCTAGACGTCTGTCTCACGTTTGTGTTCATTGACAGATAAAGGCAACTCAGGATTTGATGAGTGTTGATAACGGAGACCGCTGTTCCCCTAACCCCAAGTTTCCCATAAGGCCTTGGCCTTGCTAACCGCGGTCCTTTTCAGGAACGTAATCCCATGACTGTCTTGGACATTGCTGAGCTCTGGAGTCCTGGAGACAACCACGTTCATTTAGAAGTTGGCTGTCTTCTGGGTTTTACCACTGTGTAGTCTGGTCATCCTGATGATGGAGGCAGCAAGGACCTCTGGGTTGTACCAGGCGCTACAACCCAGAAGACAGCAATCTTCAGACTCACCGCCGTGGATGGTGCAACTTTGATTTCCTTGTGATTCTGACGTAGGTGCAACCCGGATGGCGAGCTCGCGTTCCCGCCTTTCAGCAGCCCCTGCGGGTCAGGGTCGACGGCCAGCATGGCGTACCTCAAGTCGGCGCAGTACTCGGTCAACGGCATCGGACTCGCCATGCCGAGCATGGACCCCCTTCACTCGGGGATCGGCTATCCAGCAGGTACCAGAACGCCATTGCTCGTGACCTGACCTCTCCATTAATTCGCCCACTCTTACCTCTTTCTTTGAGCACCCGACTCCATGCAGAGAATCTTCCGGAGGAACAAATTAACTTCCTGAAAAAGCTGATAGTCGTTCAGTGTACGAAATAGTTCCCTAATCTTAATCCAGATTACTCCAGTCCACATCCTCCCTTAAAACAATTTTAATATTATTGTGTCATCTATGCCTAGGTCTTGCAGGTGGTCTCTTCCGTTCAGGTTTGCACGCTAAAGTTTTGTATGCATTTCTCCTTTCATGTTACTCGCTAGTGCAACCCGGAATAAAGGCGAGGCATGTCGTCCTGGCCTAAGGACTTGTTTTACGTAATTAAGTTGCTTTCTGTTTAGTGTGAGACATCGCCCCTTCCCCCACTCTCAGGAATTTCGTAGTGGACTCCACACGTTCATACGCGGGTTCGCGAGATTAATCCAATCACGCACATTCCCAGCAAACACGATTAAACCTGGGGTAATTTAGAGGCTGGCGTGTCCTCCCCCGTCAAAACATTAGCCTTCAGCACTTTTAACATCGCGCGAATTGAATGTTCGTGAAGGAAATGGCTTCTCTGTATCGGCTGGCAACGTACAGGGAGATTCGTGGATGCTGAAGCTGTGACGAGTTCCCTGTCGGCGGGACATGACGGCCGAAGCCCTCCGAGTGATTGGCACTGGCGCGTGGGCGCACGAAAACAGGGACACTCTGTAGAATCGCTTAATCCGTGATTTAGTGTCCTAAGACATTAACAGTGAGCAAAACACAGGTATCTCTCTCTCTGTCTCTCATCAACTAATAGTCTGAGAGTATATTTTTATATTTTTCGTATTTCGTAGGGTAAGTTGTGAGAATCGGAACGGAAGAGACCACTTTCAACCCCCGGATACAGCGTCCCTCTGTGCACACGAGCCCTGAAACAGAAATTCCCGATGTAATTTCAAAGGGAATTCCCCCGGGAAAGCGCCACCCCGTTTAGACGCCATCCTATCGACATCTGTGGCAAAACAAATGTTCCGTTGAGCATTATAATCAAGTCCGTTACAGCGCCCTGGCATTTTTTTTTCCTAACAGCTGTACAGACAGGTCCATGGAGTATTCAGCTGTACGGACACAGTACATCTGTAATCAAATTAAAAATGTAACGCACAGGGCAAAAATCTAATACATGAAACAACAGACACGAAAAGAATTTAACGTCAGTTACATGAATTGCACGGTGTTACGAGCTGCTAGAATTTTCGAGGCTGTCCAAAGTCACACCGGTACTATACCCCCCCCCCCCCCCCCCGCCGCAAAGAAATTAATGGACTGGACTGAGATCAGGTTACGTCGGTGGCCGTTTCTATGGACTTTTGTGGACAATCCAGTTATCGCCACAGTTCAGGTGACGAGTGTCTATGAATTCGTTTCATGTCCCGCAGATATTTGGTCTATGTTTATCTCCTGGGGCACTGATCTGTAAGGCATGACGTGTGTACGCAGGTAATCCGCGAAAGCAGCGTCGGGAGAGGACGACGTTCACCAGGGCGCAGCTGGACGTCCTGGAGGCCTTGTTCGCCAAGACGCGATACCCGGACATCTTCATGAGGGAGGAGGTGGCCCTCAAAATTAACCTCCCAGAATCCAGGGTCCAGGTGAGCATGGCTGAAGTGGACGGTATAAAACGACGCAGACGCAGTTCGATTCTTAGACGCCCTGAACTCGTCAAGTGTTAGTTAGCCACAGAAACCAATTGCCCAAATATTAGAATTGCAAAGCTCGGAAGAATGTTGGAGTTGGCCTTGTCCTCGCACATTCGGAGGTTTGCTAGAGCTGGCGCTCTCCTGCGGCACATTTTCGAAGATCGTGTGTTCGGATCTCGATTTTGCGGCTGACCACAATTCTTTTTTCTGTACTTAATTACGACATCCTCTTTATATACAATTTCTAATTAATTAAGATGACTGTCTTCTGGGTTGTAGCGCCGTGTAGTCTGGCAGAAGTTTATCAACGTTCGCCCTGATGATGGAGGCAGCAAGGACCTCCGAAACGTCGGTAAAATTCTACCAGACTACACGGCGTTACATCCCGGAAGGCAGGAGCCATCTTCGGACTCACCGCCGTGAAAACCTAACCTAACCTAACCATGAAGGCGAAGGAAAGCATCAGACTGAGCCAACGAGAAGCTCTTCTGTGACGACTGAAAACGTCGGGTGTTTGTGCAAGGAGAAAATTACAGGGGCTTAAAATTATCCGGGTCCTTGTACGTATTCATTAACTTTCTTTTTCTGGGTTGTAAGACTGCTGATACTAGTGTCTTACCTCTCCATTCTTGTGCTGACTTGTTTAGCGACACAGGCGTGTAGGAGACGATATTTTATTGGCAATTTATGTTTCGGCAAAGAGCTCGGAGGCTGAGTGGCTTGCAAGAAGAATTTGTTCTCATCGGCGGCACTCGGAGAAGAGGGATTTTTACGAAATTTGATTTTGTGCGGGGGTTCACTGAAATTTGTTTAAACAAAATTAACGTGCACTTTACATGTGAGGGACACGAGAGTTTCTGCGAGCATCTGGAGCACGACGCGTTCATCAGAGCCAAAGACGTTTCGAACAGAAACGCGTGTTTCTGCGTCATCCACGCAGTTATCGAGATAATTAAATGAGAGTGACGAATCATCTGAAATGACGGGCGTAGAGCAAACTCCCGAAACGTCGCGCCAGTGGCCATTAACCAACGGAATCGCTGCAACTTCGGGCAGCAGAAGACCTCGAGTCCACCCTCCCGCTTGCCGCTGTAAAGCTTTTAGCTGTTCCGTTGACTACGAAAGGAAAATAATGTAATTTGTCACGTGAATTCATTGTCAAGACGCCATCTGATGTCACGTACGCGTTTGTGTGTGGCTTTTTGCCGTCGTCTTATGCAGTCCATTTGCAACATTCGCGAGGGGGGGGGCTCCCGGAGCACAATTCATTTCTTGGCTCATTTCAAAAGTGACGATGTTTAGTTGAAGGACGTTTCGGTGGTTTTTGTGAATCGATGGTTTAAGAATAAATTACCCTTTAGGTGGGATCGGCTTGTGACTACCGAATTAAAATGTTCGTGAAACGTTTGCTGGTCTCTGGAGATTGTTCTTGGTGGCACAGAAAACCCGTAGCGCACAAAGTGGAAAGAGAAAACTTGCATGAACAAGAAATCGGCGAAGGAGAATTTCGAAATTCTCACGGCGGCCACTCCGAAATTGGCTGTGGTCTGGGTTGTAGCCCCTTTCGAAGGGTCGTTCTTTACAAACCACGTGATAATCATGGCTCTTGACTTGATAGCGAAAAATCTGTGCACGCACGCCTAAGTAACGCGGTGCTTAAAACCAGAAACACTAGAAAAACTACACGAAAAATGAGCCGAAAGCACGTCAGGGCGTTAAGCAGGCAGGTACAAACGGCAGGAGCTTTTGTTCCCAGGTTTTATAAGGCCATTATCTACCGTACAATGAAGTAGTTTTCGCTCGCACCGAAGCCAGGCCGCGCTGTTGTAGTAATAAAGATACCTGCATAAGTTTCGTTCGTGGATTCCGTGACGGTGCATAATCAACTTACTTTACGGTCTGTACGGGCAGGCAGACCCTCGCGGGACCAGAAGCCATTGCATTAGAATTGCTTCCTTGCTCAGACTTTTATGTAGAATAGGACCAAGTTTCTTCTCGTGAAAGAAACTACGGTTAAAAGTACAGCGGAAAGTTTGTAGCCCTGATGGACCGCCCACAGATGCGATGTCCTCTCTTCCTTTCTCAAGTTTCA